GATATCAGCAAATCAACTGAGTCTATTCAAAGTGCTCAAAGGAAGGGAACTGGCTCTAGCGACTCAGAGATGGTTACTTACCTTTGGGAAAACCCATTTTAAATACATCCTACCAAAAGCCAATAGTTTCGTAGTAGGTAGGGTCGGAAGGGACCTAAGCAGATCATCAAGTCCGACCCCCTGCCATGGGCAGGAAAGAATGCTGGGGTCAAACGACCCAGGCTAGGTGATTATCTGTCCTCCTTTTGAAGACCCCCAGGGTAGGAGCAAGCACCACTTCCCTTGGAAGTTGGTTCCAGATCCTAGCTGCTCTGACTGTGAAATAGTGCCTCCTGATATCTACTCTCCATCCACTTATGGCCGTTATTCCTCGTTACTCCCGGTAGTGCTCGGGGAAACAGGGACTCTCCCATAGCCTGCTGGTCCCCCTTGGCCAGTTTGTAGATGGCCACCAGATCCCCTCTCAGCCTTCTCTTGTGGAGGCTGAACAGGTTCAGGTCCCGTAGCCTCCGCTTGTAGGGTTTGCCTTGCTACCCCCTGATCATAAGAGTGGCCCTCCTCTGGACCCTCTCGATGCTGTCCACATCCCTCCTGAAGTGTGGCAGCCAGAACTGGATGCAGTACTCCAACTGCAGCCTGACCAGTGTCACATAGAGGGGGAGGATCACCTCCTTGGACCTGCTCATGATGCATCTGTGGATGCATGACAAGATGAGGTTGGGCTTCCTGACTGCGTTCCCACATTGGTGGCCCATGTTCATTTTGGAATCAATAATGACACCAAGATCCTTTTCTGCCTCTGTGCTGACTAGAAGGGAGTTCCCCAGCCTGTAGGTATGCTGCTGGTTCTTCTTCCCCACATGCAGTACCTTGCACTTGTCAGTACTGAATCCCGTCCTGTTCTCATCCCCCTCCCCCTGTAACCTGTCTAGATCTAGTTGCAGCCTGTCCCTCTCCTCCAGCGTGCCCACTTCTCCCCACATTTTAATGACATCCATGAATATATTCTGTTCTGGTTTTCTTTGCAAATACAGAAGTGGCAATATCAGGCTTATAACATGAAACTTTAAATACACAACTAAAAAACTGAACTAGCAGAATAGATGAAGGTACCCATTACCAATACATTCTTTACCTGAATCATCAATAATTCTAACATATTAAAAGGAAAAGCATTGGAGGTCTAATATTCTTTGCACCACTTATTCTGTTTAGTTGTTACATTTCACTCAATTTTGACAATGGAACTAATAGTTTATTTCCAGTTGGTAGGCTGCTTCACATGCATTAAAGCAATGTTGTTGAGTTTGAGTTTTCATTAATGTACATTAATGAAAACTCACTGTAATGTAATGTTCATTAAAAACTTAAAAGGGGTGCAGAAAATTCTGAAAATATTTGTTTACACTATGCAAAATTCATAGTGGGGGGGGGAAGGGAGGAAAGAAAGGGACTGGATATATCACTAAGTACATGTGAAGACCCCATATAGGCCAGCACTAAAAATGGGATCAGTAGGAGGCATGCTGGGATGTGGTTCCAACAACAACCAGATGGCCTGGAAAGGCTACAGCCTGTATTTTAGTTTTGGTCTCAGGTAGGAAGCATGTATCCTCTCCTCCCAACCTTTTGTATTACCTCTACTATGTAGCTAAAGTGAAATTTAGCCTCTGAGGACTCTGGCTCACTTCACTTTTTCTGCCTACTAAATGCTACATTTGGGGCTAAAATGACTTGATATTATCCCATTAAACTTGTTCCAATTAAAAGACAAAGCCAAAATATTAAGCTGTGAATAATATTATGTTTTTGGTGTTAGAGAAAGTGAGAAGGAGAATTTGGGGTTATTATATACCAGTAATTCAACAGAGAAGAATTATAAAATCCAGATCACAGGTCAGACAAGGTTCCTTGGGTGAATTTGATCTCTTTTTTTAGACCAACCCAAATACTTTCTCCAACTATTTGGGTTGGTCTAATAAAAGAGATCAAATTCACCCAAGGAACCTTGTTCTGCCTATGTCCTTAGACCAACACGGCTACAACCTAAACCAGATCACAGGTCCGATATTTTAATTCTCATTTTCTATCTTTAATGTCCTTTTTTTGTGACAGATATGCTTACAATATTCACATCTGCAATACATCCTCATGAGACAAATTCTCCCTCACTTACAGCCGAGACACTGTATTTCGATATCCCACTAATACAGGAACATGAACTGTGACACACTGATTGCATATGACGAAGCGGCTCAGCAGGATTCCATCATGAATAGCAACTCAGGAAGTGGAAATAAGTGTGGAAAGTGGCAGTATATATGGAATATCTACTGTATGATCAATGCTTAATAAATCCTTTTGAAATTCTGGCTCCATTCGTAAAGAGCTCAAGAGAAAGTGGACCCAGCAGCCAGAGACGCAAAACAAGGCAAAATATTTTAAACCAATGGCAGCAGTAGAAGAGAAAATCTTGTCAAAAAGTGACTAGATTGAAGAGAAGTAAGGAAAAACAATAGTCAAGCCCATCAGATAATGGAGGGGATGTAAAAGGCCACAAAATGAAAGAGGAAAAAACAAAGATACAGAAGCATAAACATAACAATAAAAGAGAAAATGGTCTAGTTTCACCTTGCTTTTGGGAATGTAGTTTTCATGTACCTCTTAAGATGACAGAAACATAATAGCTATTGTTAACATTTCTGATCCTAAACAATAACTTGTGATCACACTGCAGTTCATAATAAAACATTTAATTTTCTCCATTATATCAGAGACCATTAAAGATCTGTTTTGTCCAAATTCTTCTCCCTGTAATGGAGCTAAGCATGAATTTATTGCAATTAATTCAGCTATTTTGTAAGCATATGCATGACTATGCACTTAATTAAAACTCTAGAATGGGAATATATGGAGTTACATAAAAAGAAATCATTTACGTCACCAAAGGGCTGGAACAGTCCTTTGCACAAGTACATATTATGTGTTTATTTTTTATGTTAAAAACATAATCATTACATCTCTTGATTTAAGGGAGACTCCTTTTACTCAGGCGCTGTGACTTCTCAAAATCATGTCATGCTGTGAAAAGACCAATATATAAGAAATTCAATGGCCTGCATCCCTGCAGGAAACTACCCACAACTTTAACAGCTCGCATATGTGAAATTGTAAATATTAAAAAGAAAAGCTTACTCTGGTCACTAAACTCATTCCTTGGGGTTAAAGTTGTGTTTGTTAAGTACTGGAAGGAAATACATGAAATGCAATGGCAGGCATCATGTATGAGTGAGTCAGAGTGATGATAAGTCGCATAAAAAACAGAATCTGGAAATACACTGAAAGGAGCCATCTCCACAGATGCTCTGACAATAAGGTAAACCCATCAAGGAATGAGCATGTAGGATTACTCATGGAAAGTTACTCATGGAAAGTGGATAACTCGCTACTTACATACTTCCACACTGCAGAAAGCAACATGAGGTTTTCCTGAAACACACTACAGCATTAAGTTTACCAAGAAGATGCTTCATCTGGACAAATCATCAGTTGCTACTTTGGCAAATTAAAAATCTTTCAGGTAATAAAAACTAAACGTGAAACCAGGGGAAGCCTAGACAAATGACCAAGGAAAACGTTCTTTGTCTTCTACCTTGCTACTTGGGATCGAACTGCAGAACTGACCGACAACCCCTCTCCTTCACCAAAGACAATGACACAAAATTAAATGGACCCAAGTCAGAATAGGTATGACCATCAAGTTTGTAAACTTCTGCACTGTTTAAATGGCTTGTGGCAAAACCCATTGTTTAATTTCTAAAATTCCATCTACTGTTTTTAAGGCAAAGGTCTCAAAGCCTCCACCTTGGATTTTAAAACAACTCTCCGGCATTGTTTTAGGTGATTCTTCCTGTCAGGCACCACCTGACAAGGAGATCCTGCCTAGGTTCACAGGCTCAACCCCCCCCCAAACCAACCCAACAAAAAAACCCACTCAAGAGTTAAGTACTTCAGCAGACATGAATCAACCTTTAAACAGCCAGGGGAGAGGGGGGGGGAGGGGATCAAAGCCCAAAGAAATCTGAGCTGGACAAAATAAAAGCAGCCAAAAAATAAAGCCCCCGATTCACTCCAAGTTGGGGGAGACATCAATGAACGTTTCTCCTGGTGCCCAGCTCAAAGAACTGGGCGTCTCGTGCCAGCACCAGCTGCCGGGCAGCCCAGACACTCGCGGGCCCTC